GCCTTAGCCACTTGAGCCACAGGCGCCGAGCCCTTTATGTATATTTTTAATGGCCTTTCTTCCCAGCGTGAGTGTTTCTTCTCTTGCAGGCAAAGCGGAGAGATTCACCTGCTGAAGGCAGCCAGAGGGCCGGTGGGCAGGACGGCCAGCAGGTATAGCCCTGGAGAAGGTCTTTGCAATTGCATAGTGATGCCTTTTTAGGATTTTATTTATTTATTTATTAATTTTTGAGACAGAGTCTCACTTTGTTGCCCTTGGTAGAGTGCCGTGCTGTCACAGCTCACAGCAACCTCCAGCTCTTGGGCTTAGGTGATTTTCTTGCCTCAGCCTCCAGAGTAGCTGGGACCACAGGTGCCCACCACAATGCCCTGCTATTTTTTTTTTTTTTTTTGCAGTTTGGCTGGGGCCGGGTTCGAACCCGCCACCCTCAGTATATGGGGCCTGCGCCCTACCCACTGAGCCACAGGCGCTGCCCTAGAATTTTATTTTTTATATATATTAGGCCATTATGTCATATGTTGAAAACAGCAAAACCAAAACCTCCTAGTACTTCTTCGGAGGGCAAGAAGAGGTGCATTCACAGTCTGTCTATGGCTTTCCTTGGATTGCCAAGATCAGGTCCCACAGGTGGGGCAGCTTAAACTGCAGAGCTTGACTTCCTCACCATATGTAAGCCCAAGACCAGGTGTTATAGGGCTAGCTCCTCCCAAGGCTTTTCCTCAGCTTACAGATGTATGAGAGTATCCCTGGTATCTTTTCCTCTTCTTTTTTTTTTTTTTTTTTGAGACAAGAGATTTACTTTGCTGCCCTCAGTAGAGTGCTGTGGCCTCATAACTCACAGCAACCTCAGACTCTTCAGCTCAAGTGATTCGATTCTCTTGCTTCAGCCTCCCGAGTAGCTGGGACTACAGGTGCCCACCACAATGCCCAGCTATTTTTAGAGAGGTCTCGCTCTGGCTCAGGCTGGCCTCAAACCTATGAGCTCAGGCAATCCACCCTCCTTGGCCTCCCAGAGTGCTAGGGTTATGAGTGAGCCACTGCTTTTCCTTTTAAAGATGACAGCCGTAGAGGGTCCCACCATCATGTCCTCATTTTACCTTAATCTCTCCCTCACAGACTCTGTCCTGGGAGATAGGGTCACAGACATCATGCTTACTGAAGGAAGTCACAAAAAGATAAACACGGTGTGATTCCACCGAAATGAGTCCTGTTGAGAGGGGCCCTCACAGAAATGGAAGCTAGAATGGAGGGTATGGGGCTTGAGGAGGGGTTAATGTTTAGTGGGGACAGAGTTTCAGTTTGGAAAGATGAAAAGAGTGGAGGTGGCTGGTGACCATGGCCACATAACAGTGTGAAGGTAATGCTGCAGGGACGTTCTCTCACTGTAGTGGTAAATGCTATATGTGTTGTACCACAATAAAAAGAAAAGAAAGAAACCAGGCAGATGGTGCTGGCATCAAGAGGGCCCCAGAATCTCTGGCCCCATCTCAATGTGTCTGTCTCTCCTGTTGGTGGGGACCCCACTTGTGCCCTGCCAGGGCAGTGCTTCAGTGACCATTATGGCCTCAGGGTAAAGGACCAATATGCATGCTGTAAGCAATTTTCATGGTAAAGTGGTACCATGGCATCTTCAAGGGGGCTATCTTTCTCCAGTGTGCTTATTTGGGGGAGGAAGTCACAATATGTTCCTCACCCCTGCTGGATTCCAAGCAGGGTCAGTGTGGGGTTTGGGCCCCAGTCAGGCTGGAACCTTCGTTCTTGGTCCTTATTAGTTTGTGGCCCCAAGTGGGGTTCCCTAGGACAGAGTTTCCCTGCATACACATGGGAAGTGGGGAAAGGAGGCCACAGTGTCCCAGGGACCTATTAGAACCTCACCCTTAGCATGAGACACCTGTCTGAGCTGAGTGTCCGGCCTGTGCACAGCCCTCAGACTGGAGCTCCTGGGGGTGGTCTTGGCATCTACATCTGCCCTGGCCTCTGGGCTTGCTGGATTCCTGCCCTCTGGTTTAAAGAGCAGAGGTGACAGGGCCCAGGCTCCCCCTCCAACCTAGGCCAGTAGAGACCTGCACTTTGATAACTGACCTTTCAGCTGAGGCAGGGACCCTTCTAGGATGATCATCTTTCCCTTATTTGGAAAGGGGTTCCCCTGGCCTTGGGAGTGGTTCAACAGTCAGATGCAGGCCAGGGCTGAGCTACAGAGCAGGCAGGTAGAGCTGCAGCAGAATGCCTGCAGAAGTAGTCATGACCAGGACAGTGGTCCAGCTGTCCTTGATGGACCTCAGCCTGACTGGGCAAGATCATCTTATTTCTGTGGATTGTACTACAGGACATCGGCCTGGGTGGACTCATGGTGTGGTGCCTGGTCTGAGGGTGTCTGGCCTGCAGCCTGCATGGATAGGCTGAGCCCCACATCTAAGCTGCTAAATCTGCAGTCTGAGCTGCCAGGTAGAGTCCCTGTGCGTTACCTCCTCCCTCCGGGTCTGTCTCACCTCTGCCTCCTCGGCCACGTGGAGAGAAAGTCCTCTCTCTCTGACTTAGGCCCTGTCGCCAGAGTGTGAAGAGCTTCCGGGTGTGGTGTCTGGGGCCACCAGTTGGGAGGCTCTCCCTGGCCCCGTCTTGAGGGTACATCTACTCAGGAGAGCCCAGCCTGCCCCTACACCCAGAGCAGTGTTCTTACCAAGGCAGGGACAGAAAGCAACTTGGTAGCAGGTTTCCCTGAGATGGGGGAGGCCTCAGACACATCTTTTCTCATTTCTGGGCTTCCTCCTCTAGCATGTGGGACTTCAGTGGCCATCATGCTAGGCCCAGCACATGACGTTTAAAGTGGGAAATCCATAGCATCATGTGGGGCTGAGCTGGTTGTTGGGGGTGGGCCCCTGGCTTGGGCCCATTTCTGACTCTCACCTGGACAGAAGAGCAGGGTGGGCCAATGGCCTGGGGCAAGTGGTGTCCATGTGGTGCACTGTCTGGAATCTGCACATGGCCCGTGCTGGTTGGCTGCTGCCTCCACACTCCTTGGCACAGAGGACCATTTCCAATATCAGTCTCAGGGTCTATCTGTGCTTGGTACATGAATGAGGAGAAATATATTACCCAGAGTGAAGCCAGTGGAGGGAGAAGGAGCCGGGAGCCTGGAGAGAACTAGGAGAACTAGTCTGTGCCAGATTTCTGTCCCTTAGAAAATATACATTAAAATTGTTTTAATGGACAGTTTTACTTAAACTGACAAACCAATATATCACCCCTCACCCATGATCTGCCTTGTCACACCTCCTACCGAAGATAACTTTTTTTTTTTTAGAAAGAATCTTACTCTGTTGCCCAGGCTAGAGTGTTGTGGCCTCAGCCTAGCTCATAGCAACCTCAAACTCCTGGGCTCAAGTGATCCTCCTGCTGTAGCATCCCAAGTAGCTGAAACTACAGGTGCCTGCCACCATGCCTGGCTAGTTTTACTGTTTTTAGTGGACATGGGGTCTTGGTCTTAGGCTGATCTCAAACTCCTGAGCTCAGGCATTCCACCTGTCTCAGCCTCCCAAAGTGCTAGGATTACAGGCATGAGCCACTAAGCCTGGCCTGAAGTTCATTTTAATGTAGTTTTAGATGCTTGATTTTATAGTAACCTCAAAGTTTCCCTTTTAGACACAGCTGCTGTTTGAAATATGCCTTTGCACCTCTTGTCATGGTGCTCTTTCTTCTCTGTTTCTCTTATGTGCAATGTCCTTCACTTATGGGGTATTGAAGATAGTGCTGTGTGCTGGTTCTTTTTCTATCAAACAGAGATAATGTGAATTTCCCACATTTTCTACTTTTCTTGGGTATTTCCTTTATTAATGTTTCGGAAGCAGTACCGGCTCTGTGCTCACTTCCCTAGGAGGACATTTTTTGAGGACCCCAGAAAGCACTCAGATTTCTGCTAGGTGTGGGAGAGCTCAGGACAAGGAGGGCACATGGGCTAGGGGCTTATCCCTTCTGCCCGGTTGGCCCCTAGCTTTTGACACACGTGTCTGCACTTTCTGGATTAATTTTCTCTGGCAAATGTCTGCTTTGGAAAATCATTTTCTAGGCTCAGTGCCTGTACTTCAGTGGTTAGGGCACCGGCCATATATACCAGGGCTGGCGGGTTCAAACCTGGCCCCAGCCTGTTAAACAACAACAACTACAATAAAAAAAATAGCCAAGTGTTGTGGTGGGTGCCTGTAGTCCCAGCTACTTGGGAGGCTGAGGCAAGAGAATTGCTTAAGCCCAAGAGTTTGAGGTTGCTGTAAGCTGTGACACCAGGGCACTCTACCGAGGGTGACACAGTGAGACTCTGCCCCCCTCAAAATCATTTTCTACAGAGAAACTTACAAGACACTTTCTAAATGCATTTTTTTTCCTCTGTGTGTGAACTGAACTGATGGTTCTGCCTGTGATGATTATTGGAGACTGTTAAAATCCCCCTGGGATTTAGGAAAACTCTCCAGTATCATCTCCCTGGGGATAGCTGGTGACCATGCCCTCTGGTCTCTGCACCTTGTTCCCAGCTGATGTGCTGATGCCATGTTCCCATCTGAACTTACCTGGTGCATTTCATCATCTTGTCTGTGTGTCTTTGAACAGAACCACCTCGCTGTGTTCGCAGTGGTCCACCCACTGGCACCCAGCGTAAGCTCCAGTGTGGCATCCAGCACGGGGTCAGGCAGCTCATCCCCCACAGCCCTGCCAGCCCTCTCTGCCCGAACTCTCCCATTGGGCCCTGCCAGCAGCACTGTTGAGGCCGTCTTGGGTAAGTCTAGCATCTTCTTCTTTTCCTCACTTTCTTTTGCACTTACGTTGTAGCTTTTCTATTTCAGGACACATTGGCAAATACCTGTTTTTGTAGAAAAGCCAGATGCACCTATTTTTTTTTTTTTTTAAGACAGAGTTTCACTTTGTTGTCCTCAATAGAGTACTGTGGCGTCATAGCTCACAGCAACCTCAAACTCTTCGGCTCAAGTGATTCTCTTACTTCAGCTTCCCTAGTAGCTGGGACTATAGGCCCCTGCTACAATGCCCGGCTATTTTTAGAGATGAAGGTCTTGCTCTTGCTCAGGCTGGTCTCGAACCTGTGAGCTCAAGCAATCTACCTGCCTTGGCCTCACAGATTGCTAGGATTGTAGGTGTGAGCCACTGTGCCCAGCCCAGATGCACATTTTTGGTTACCTGTCCTTTTGGTTTTGTTGTGCATGTGGTAGTAAAAATGAGCCCTGACTTATCAAAAGGCTCAGGGCCTGAGTGCTGCAGATGTAGGGGAATATGTTTGATATGTCCAGGAAGTGTGGATGTGCTGTGCTGCCCCCCCGCTGCAGAGAAGGAAAAATAGGAGTTGTGGAGCAGTGAGGGTACTGCAAGTGGTGGACAGTGACAAGGATGGGGAGGGGATCCAGGACCAGGCCTGGAACCAGTGGGCACAGCTGCGAGATTTGGGAAGTCTGGCTACTGGGAGTCATTGAGCATTTGGGAACAGAGAATACTAGGGCTCCAGTCACGCAATTGGTTAGTGCATGGTACTAATACGACAGAGGACATATGATTGGAGCTGGGCTGGGGGTCTCCTTTGGGGTCTGGTTGGGAGCCCAGACCCTGGGGGCAGGTCCTCGCAGAAGTCCAGGAATGAACGGGGTTGGACGGAGCTGGTAGGCAAGATGGTACAGGGGGCTGCAGTACTCTTGGGTGCTCTTGGCCACTGTGCCATGTGTGGGTGGGGGTGGCTACCGGGCTACACCTGTGGAGGGCTTGGCTTCCATAGGTGCTTGGTGAGAGGCAGGATGCTCTGAAGTCCCATATTCCATGATGTCCACTGCCCAGCTGACCTGGCCTATAGTTCTGTCCCGACAGTAAGGGACTTGGGCAAGGCCTGTCATCCATAGTGATTTCCAGGCTCTTTGTCCCTAAGTTGGGTGGGACAGGGGCCGCTGTAATGAGGGTGGTCAGCTACAGTACAGATCCTTCTCTGCTGCTGGATGCTGGGAGAGGGGTGGGCATGGGTGGTGGCCCATGGGGCAGTGTGTGCCAGCATGGAGCACCTAGTTGAGGTACAGGTTTGGAATGATGCCAGCTGAGGAGATCGGTGGGAGAGACTTTCCAGTGGCCATTTGGATGGACCACGAACTATGGACCTCAGAGGGACATCAGACAGCCTGGTCCCATGTGGTGTCCATGAGGGAAGCCAGGCAAGCGCTCCTGAGGCTCCTGGGATGGGCCTGTGGGTCCCTGGGTGCACGAAGCTCTGCTCAGCCCCTGGGCCAACTCCTGGGCTCCCCAGGAGCAGTTGCTACATGTGCTGCAACCTCACGACCCTGTATGCCTTTGCCCCACCCTTCCCATTCAGCTGCCACATGTGCTGCATGCTCATGGCCCTCTATGCCTCTGCCCCACCCTTCCTGTTCTCCAGAGCACTAGGACCTTCTGAGGCAGGCATGTCTCCCCTCATCACCTTGGTGTAGGCTCTGTCACATATCTGTTTCATCCGCTGAAGAACCCTCTAGAATTCAGGGCTTGGCCTTCTCTGGAAGCTGTGGGGAGAGCTGGCATCTGGACGGCCCCACTCCCTGTTGTGTGATCAGGGTTCTTGGGCCCTATGCACTACATGGTGGGGTACTGTGTATGCTGTTCTGCCTCTACCTCATATCAGCTGCTGCTGCCTGGGGATGAAGAGCAGCGTCTGTCCCGTTGGCAGGTCTCAGGACAAGGCTCAAACTTCTCCCACTTCTGCCCTCTGGTCTGATTTGAAAATCATCTTCTCTTGTGGTCTCACAGGCATAAACATGTGAAATGACTCCTGTTAGGGCTTTGCTTTAAAGGGATGGTTTCTTAAAACTGTAAGTACTTCAGGGGTGGTATCTGTGTGTTCTCACAGACAAAAACATCCCATGTATATTTCATTTCAACCTGAAGTTGAGGATGTTGTTCCTCTGTCAGGCTCACGAATTGAATGTGTTAATTTTAATACAAAATTGCTGTAATAAATGGGCCTCTTAATTCAGGGCCCTGGATCACACTTCCAAATTCGTAAATCCCTACTGAAAAATCAAAGTATGTGGGGCACACATTTGCAGAACATTCTTTCTCCTTTTCCCACCTGGAAGTGAGCTGAAAAGACTGAAAGTCACATCTTGGGATTTTATTGTTTTACACACAAGCAAAAATTATGTTTTTTTTAAATAAAGTTTATCTTCCTCAATAGAAAAGTAGTAATGGTAGAATTTGAGCATAACAGAAAAGTATTCAGGAAAATTAAATCCCTGCCTGAAATCAGCAAGACTGCATTTGACCGCACTTGCCAGACTGAAAGTAAACCCAGGTGCCCTAGGGCTTTGATGCTGGCTTGGCTGGACCCTCAGACAGAACACAGCCAGCTGCCAGCTGCACGCTTGTGGTCACTTTCTTAGCCATTACTTACTGTCTGAGGTGTATCCCTGACCTGTTTGAGTATGTCTGTATCACTGCCTATCTTGAAGTGTGTTCTTTCATTCACTGAAGTATTTCCTGAACTGACTCCTGGGAGGTAAGAAGGCGGATTCTTTTCAGGGTGAATGTTGCCTTCCTTTACAATGTATTTTTGTTGTTTCTGCCATCTTGAAATAATGAGGTTTTGCCATCAAGTGCCATCCACACTTTTCTTCCTCTGTCCACTGCCCTACAATCACATGGAAAGTGATATCCCAATGAGAGCCCCAGTCACAGTGTTAAAGCAAATCCTCAGAGCTGCCCTCTGACCCTAGAGCTGCCTTCCCACGTGAGGACTAGTGGCCAGTCTGACCCACAGGGCCTGCCTGTGTGGCCCTTACTCTGCTCACTTGTTTCATTAGCTGTTTAGAAGGTTTGGGGATTATGAGTGTAGATTGGGCTTTTTCCTTGTAATGCAGTTTCTTTTAAGTTTTTTTTTTTTTTGAGACAAGAGGCTGTGTCACCCTTGGTAGAGTGTCCTGGCGTCATAGCTCAGAGCAACCTCAAACTCATGGACTCAAGCGATTCTCGTGCCTCAGCCTCCTGAGTAGTTGGGACTATAGGCACCTACCACAGCACCAAGCTATTTTTAGAAACGGGGTCTTGCTCTTGCTGAGGCTGATCTTGAACCCATGAGCTCAGGCAGACCACCCTCCTTAGCCTCCCAGAGTGCTAGGATTATAGGCATGAGCCAAGGAGCCTAGCCTCAAGTTGTATTATTAAGAACTGAATAAAGATATCCTAGGACACAAGTCTAACCTCAGCAAATTTAAAAGTGTAGAAATTATTCCTTGTATTTTCTCGGACCACCACGAAGTAAAAGTTGAACTCAACAGCAGCGGGAATCTTCATACTCAAACAAAGTCATGGAAGCTAAATAATCTTAGGCTGAATGATAGTTGAGTCAAAGATGAGATTACGAAGGAAATCACCAAATTTTTTGGAACAAAATGATAACAAAGATACAAATTATCAAAACCTGTGGGATACTGCAAAGGCAGGCCTAAGAGGGAAATTTATAGCATTGGAAGCCTTTCTCAAGAAAACAGAAAGAGAGGAAGCCAACAACTTAATGGATCATTTGAAGCGACTGGAAAAAGAAGAACATTCCAACCCCAAACCCAGCAGAAGAAAAGAAATAACCAAAATTAGGGCAGAATTAAATGAAATTGAAAAGAATCATTCAGAAGATCAGTGAAACAAAAATTTGGTTTTTTGAAAAGATTAACAAAATTGATAAGCCTTTGGCCAACCCATCCAGAAATAGAAAAGAAAATCTCTAATATCGTCTATCAGAAATGATAAAGGAGAAGTAGTAACAGACTCTTCAGAAATTCAAAAAATCCTCAATGATTACTACAAAAATCTCTATTTCCAGAAATATGAAAATCTGAAGGAAATGGCCAATGCTTGGAAGCACACCACCTTCCTAGACTCAACCAGAAAGAATTAGAAACCTTGAATAGACCCATATCAACCACTGAAATAGCATCAACAATACAAAATCTTGGCTCGGCGCCTGTGGCTCAAGTGACTAAGGCGCCAGCCACATACACCTAAGGTGGCGGGTTTGAATCCAGCCCGGCCCGCTAAACAACAGTGACGCTGCAACTAAAAAAAAAAAATAGCCAGGCGTTGTGGCAGGCGCCTGTGGTCCCAGCTACTTGGGAGGCTGAAGCAGGAGACTC